ACAGTACAGATCCATCCTAAACTCATTATTATTATTATTATTATTATTATTATTATTATTATTATGTACTCTGAAATAAGTTCCATTACATTCAGTGAGCCTCATCCAGGCCACTAATAAGTAAATTTAGAATTGCGGTCTAAATGTGTTAAAGATATCAAATAATCATAGAATTGTAGGGGCTACAAGGGTCATCTAGTCCAACCCCTGGCAATGCACACATCTTTTGCCCAACGTGGGACTCAAACCCACAACCCTGAGACGGAAAGTCTCATGGTCTACTAGCGGAGCTACTGAGCTTGTAGCTAGTTAGGGAAGTGGGCGGCACTCAAAAAATGTTGTTTTTGTTGTTTTGCCTCCCTCCACCATAATTTATATATTTCAGATATTTGTTTGCTAGTTGGATTTTTTCCTACACAGGTTAAAAGAGTTTATAATAACTGAATCCTTACATTTGTGGAAGAGTTAAACATTTGCAGTGCTGAAAAATCACATCAAATAAGGGTTGGGGCGAAAGGAATGGATTCTGACTGGGACTACATAAGAAAGTACATGCAGACAATTATAACTAACCTTTGTTGACACTCAGTCTGCTCCTCTCTGCCAACAGAGACCAAGGCATTACACAGATGTATGTGCTACTGTTACCAATGCAATAGAGACACAGGATTCCTTATTGGTTTATATTGCAACGGGCTCTTTAGGCGGCAATCGTCTGTCCACTTTCCCTAGAGAAAGCCCTACTGAGTTCAATGGGACACACTTCTGAGCAGACATGATAAGGTTTGGGCTGTTATGGTAAATCCCGCTGAGATGTAAGTCCCATTGAGCTTAATGAGATACCTGCCCAGGTAGGTTTACTACAAATCTATCCACAGCAAAAATGAGTCAAAGAATCCCTTGAGCCACCATTTGACAAACAGCAAGAAAATTAATATACGCAGGTATTCCCCGCAAATTTAAAAATAAAAGCTGCAGAGAAAAAGGAGAACCTTTAACTGAATGGCTAAATGGAATATTTCAAAGGATTCCCTGCCTAGGACCGAACTACAGTCAACTTGTCTGTATGTCACAACAACAGTCAGTTGGGTTAAATCAGCTAGGTACCAGCAGTATTATGATGATGATTGGTGGATAAAGTAGGAAATGTGTATAGGAAGAGTCAGGTGAGTGGCGTACACATCTTTCCAAAATCTTAATCAGGTTCAGGAAAGCAATTAAGTCCACATACCAGTGAAGCATTATGGGAATGATGGCTAAATACTTAGACTGGGAGAAATTTATATGTAGGCAGGACAGTTGCTGGGAATTGCACGTGGGGTAAGTGCTGTGGCACCCGGGTCCTGTTTGCTGGCTTTTCGGAGAAATCTAGATGGCCACTGTGAGTATAAGATGCTAGAATAAATGGGCTTATGGCCTGATCTAGCAAGGCTTTTCTTTTCAGGACAAATCAACCAGTGCCAAGCCTTAGGAATCTAATTTACGGTCTGCCACATTTCTCCATTTTAATTCTTTGAGGAAGCCATTTTGTTTGAGTTGTACTGCAGGCAGAAGACTTAGGAAAAGAGAGGAGGTGGTTTGATAGACAGAGGAAAAGGTTCCGATGGGCGCTATTCTCTGTCATCACAGAGACAAACTAAAGAATGGATATAACCCAAAGGTCCTGCCTTTGAATGTCTGTATTTAATATTTCAGCTTTGCACCCACTGTCAGATATAACATGGCGGAAAGAATGGAGACCCAAACCCTTTAACTGAAGCTCAGTCTGAATTATTATGAATTGCCATAAGGGGGGTGGGGAGAAACCTCAGTGTCAGAAAGGGGTGTGTCTCTGACCAGTCTAACATGGCAGTGAAAAAGCATTTCTCCATATAGGAAGTTGCTTTATACTGAGTCAGACCGCTGGTTCATTGAGCTCAGTATTGTCTCTACAACAAGATTTCCCAAACCTCTGAGTTCATTGACTCACTGATGAGCTTATAAAGTCGTCATCAACCCCATCCCAAATTCTTTGTAATGTAAATGAAATAAGATCCAAATAGATCAAGATATAATTGATATTTATTAACAATCGCTCACCGTTACTCATTGGCAAGGGAAGTGCACTCTGTACATGCCCACGGCCTTTATTTCCGAGGCTCATAATTCCTAATTAATTTTTTTGTACTGTATCTCAGAAACTTCTATGATGACCTTTTGACCCATGGGTCTTTATACATTCCCTGAAGAGTCTCATCAACCTTCAGGGGGTCAGTACTGATTACTTTGAGAAACCCTGGTCTACAATGACTGGCAAGGGCTCTCCAGGGTTTCAGACCAGGAGTCTCTCCCCATCCTACCTAGGGATGCCGGGGACTGAACCCATGACCTTCTGCGTGCAAAGCAGATGCCCTACCACTGAGCTACAGCCCTTCCTATAAACAAGAAGCCTGAAAAGAAGTGGAATTCTTGGCCCTGCAGCAATCACATGGATTCTGCATGGCTTTCCACAGACAAATTGCTCAGCAAAGCTAATCACATGAACTAGGTCCCTGCTTATTTAGATGAAGGAATGGCAGTTAGGGTGTGGATGGGGGAAGAATTTGAAAAAAGAGAGAGGAGAAAAAACCCACAGGGTGGCTGGATCTTAAGATTTCAGCATGTTGCATATATCTAATCTGTTCACTCAAAACCAAGAGTCATGTGATAATTATTATTTTTTTAAAGAAAAAACCCTGCGTCTTCCATTTTGTTTTGTCTTGAAGGTATTTTCTAATAATCAGATTTTCAGATAAAAGCTGAAATCCTTACCATAACCTCAAGGATTCAACTCAAACAGAAAATAATTTAAGCTTTGCTCAAGCCTAACTCGAGTGTTTTTTGTGGGTTTTGAATATTTAAGCTGTCAGAGTACTGCAAGCTGAAGTAGAAGGGATATCCTGCCTTGGTGGAATTCGTTCTTAAAGGTTTACGTGGATGAACAGCCCCATTGCATTTCAAATCTCACAGGAGAGTTTTACAAGTCCCAGTGTCTCAATGCAATAATGCTGTGCCCATCCTCACAAAATGCACAGCCAGCCAATTAAAAAAAGGAAAAAAATTCTGATGTATGTTCCGGAGAAGTATTTTGCCTGCAAAGTCAGGATTCACTTGGGAATGAAACCAGCTAAAATTAAGCGTTCAGGAACTTCTTATCAAATCTACCAAAGCAATAAGCCCAGATAAAGCCTCAAGGCAAGGCATGTGGAGACTGGCTGCCATGGGCATAAAAGTAACAAGGTTCTTCTCTGCCCCAAGGATTGCTATTTTCAGCTCCAACTTGCTAGCCCTCTCTTTGCAGGTTAGCATTGGGAGAACGTGAGTTGGAGGCAGAGTTGCGCCTGCCATAATGCATGAGGGCATGGACACTGTCCAATAGGTGCCCGTGACATTCTCACAACTGCATGATTCTAGACACTGCTCCAAACAACAACAGTCCTCTTAGGTGGGGTAAATAATCACATTTCCCCACCTGCAACATAGTGTTACTTGAATGCCAGGGAAATGTGATGTCTCTGAAACAGTCATGCTTCCTTAATGTAAGATGCTTAGATTCCATGTAAATGGCGAGCAAGAGCCGCACAACGAATGCACAATAAACAGATAATCTGGAAAGTCTTGAACAGTACAATCCTATGCATGTTTACTTAGAAGTGAGTTCCGGTATGTTCAATTGGGATTACTCCCAAGTAAGTTTGCAAAGGAATGTTGTCTTCAAAGATTTACTATATGAACATATGTGCACCTGAATAAGGAACATAAAGTGCCTTCTCGCTACCTGAGTGGACACTGGCTTGTTTCTACTATGGTTGGAGTAACATGTTGTTCCATAAACAGAAACAACCCCAAATTGTGACAGTCCAATTAGCCAGAAGCAATGCATTGGCATAGATTGCTCAGTGGCAATATAAGGGATCTTATATTCTGATTGTGTTTCCTTATCTCTCCATCAGCCTTTTATTACAAGCCTTGTTCATCGCTCCATTAGCCTCCCCCCCACCCCATGACTCTTCATTGTTCCTATATTTCACAGTTGCCAAATTCCAAATCCAAATCACCTTCAGGCAATCACCAATTATTGATATCTGTGACTAAACAACAATGGGATGGTCTGTAACAGGGGGCTGAGTTTCCGTCCTTTGCCATACCTGCTCCTTCCTTCCCGCCATGCCAACAGTAGCTCACTCTGTCTTCAAGACAGGTACAAATACATTTAAGGATGTTTTTAAAAACAAAAAACACAAATACAAACAAATGCCAGGCTAGAAAACTCAACAGACACAGAATGTCAAATTCCAAACACTCCAATTTGAACTTTCACAAATCAAAGGTTGGCTCAAAATCATGAAATGAAAACCAGCTTGCGTACAGGGGAGCACAATTTTGTCATTTTGCTGCTCAGCCTTGGTTCCATGGAAATCACTATTCTTTTCTCTCAGCCATGAAAGCTGTCAACTTTACATTTTTGAATTAATCTTTCCCTTAATTTCACCACCATGACACTGCTTGTTTGGGACTTCAGAACTGTTGGATAAACAGCATGTAGCAGAGGAGAGACTCATGATTTCATTGGGGATAAAACTGAAGAAGAACCCCAAAAGTGTAGTAGAAAGAAGGAACGCAACAGGTCAAGAGGAGAAGGTGAAGTATGCAGTTTCTGAAAACCCAACTGCTGCGACTGTGGCTTAGCGGCCAGATTAACTGGGCCTTGCAATGGAATAGGATTACAGGTCAAATCAAAACATGGACCAAGTTTTATACTGGTAGCACATAATCAAGAAAGAAAGTACCTTCTATGCTTTGCTCTCTACGCCACTTATCTGTGCCTTATTTCCTGGATCACCCCACCTGCTCTCCCTTTATCACCACATCAAAGCAAAAATTAAAACCAATCAACAGATGCCTGCTGAACTCCCACCACTCTCTAGTGCACCCCAGTTTTCCCTCATCTTATGTGGTGTCTTTCTCCCAGTCATTCTTACCTCCAGAGCTTCCCAAGCGTCTTACTAAGCTCTGCATTGTGGAGGTGAGGATACTGATCTGCCAGCTTCCTCCGGGCCGCTTGCGCCCACACCATGAAGGCATTCATGGGCCGCTTGACATGGGGCTTGCTCTTGCTGCTTCCATTGACCCGCACAGGCATGGGCACCAGGGTCCAGTCGTAGCCACTCAGCACCTGGCTCACTGCCTCCCTGATGCACACTGGGAACTTGTCGTCGTCCGCTTCTGAGTCCTGCTGTTCCTTCTTCACCTTCCCCATCTCACCGCTGCTGGGGTTGCTAAGGTGAGAGCTAGCATCTGATGCCATGGAAGGTCCTGGAGAGAGGCAGTGGTGGTCTTCAGAACCCACAGGACTCATCTCCACCTCAGAAAGGTCTTGATCGTCTGTCATTGTTTCCTCTTTGTTTTACTCCTCAGGTACCAACGTCTTCCAACTGGAACCACACACACAAAAAAGGTCTAAATGAACACTAAAGCTAAAAAAGTTCAAAATATCCGAATAATCTGGAAAGGATTTGGTACATACTTAATAAAAATATGTGGCCCCTACCACATTAACATGTTGTTTTACGGGACCTGCAAAAGCCGTGATCAAATGTGAGTGGAGAACATTGTAATTAGCTGGAAACTTCTGGCATGTGCCATAAAGTTTCTCTAACATGAGAATCCGCTTTTTTTTTTGGTGTACATGTTATCTACAAACAAAGATTGGGGAGGTCTTCAAGAGGGTGAAGACCAAAAAACAAGACCTATTTCTTAATTTCGCCTTCCAAATCCCAAATGCCTGCAGTTTCTTAACTTGCTTTGATATTGGAGTCAAGAATATCAGCAGTTGGGGGGAAATGGGTGGTTATAAGCATTAAAGGATCAAGACAAAACACCTCATGATTGTGTAAGAATTAGTGTATTTGGAGTGCGTCTCAAACACACTGCGCCATTTGAAGCAGACCAGGTAAAAGGCACCATAGAGTGGGCTGGAAATATTTTGGCTTCATATTCTCTTCCTGGTTCACTTACGCTCCAGATATTATTATTTTTAAAGTTTGTGAGCATCGCATATATCTAATATATACACGTATGTTAAAAAACTTCTAGAAAATTTGAAGCTTCTATCACTTTTCAGCCCTGTCAGACATTAACCAACCTCAGGAAAGCAATGCCTAAAAATAAAGTTGGCACAGGCACCTAGCTGGTTCCCTAACGTAAAAGAAATTAGCCCCCACCCCAAATTGGCTGCCTTTTCAATCTGTAATTCTTCACCCAAAGCTCAGTGGAAGGGTGAAGGAAAGCTACTGAAGGAGAAAACTATCAGATGTGTTTTAAAAAGGAGAGAGAAAGAGGGGGAGAGAGAGAAAGAGACAGTGAGTTACCAAGCTCAGGTAGAGAAACTTACATCGGCCGCTCTGTCGGGCAAATCCTGAGAGAGCTGTAATTTGTATCCCAATAGCCCCTCTGTTCTCCTTTCACAAGCCTGGTGGCTTTTCAGGAGCTGTGTGCTGAGGAAACTCTCAGACAAGTGCCATTCCTAAGGGGAGGCTTGGTTTTTCCTAATACCCTGGATGAATGTCTCTGTGACTGGCTTGCCGCTTTACACAGGGGGAGGGAAAGACAGAGGGTGGAGCTAAGAGCTCTTTATGGCCCAGTTGCATTCATTGTATGCAGGCAGGAGATTCTAAGGCACCCCCCCCCACAACTGCACATTTCACCCCCATCTCAAACTGACACTTATAGAGGCGTGTTGTTATTTGTTGTTGTTTTTTGGTGGTGCAGTCAACGTTTATTTAATTTGTTTTTACATTGGATGGTTAACATTGGGCATTTTTAGGCCCATTTGGCGTGAGAAGGGATGGCGTTTAAGGACTGCGTTGAACAAAATTCCTATATGGAATGGAGTGTGTGTGTGTTTGTGTGTCAATAACCACACACAGAGATTTTGTTGTGGCAGCTGTATATGCATTGCAGAGCTGCCATCGGCCAGAGTATTGCAGCATATTCTCCCAGGGAAGACCTACGTTCGTGTAGCCACCACAAAGGGGAAATATGAATGTGTAAGCACAACTATATAGAAGTTCCTTCAGCGTAGAACTTGTATAACATGTGTGATCTGGAGGCCTTTGTGTCTCCCCTCCTAGGCTTTCTTAGATGTCTCAGCCCAAACACTTATTGGAGCCTACGGGGAAGAGAAAGATGGCGACATCTTCACTTGCAGGTCCTTCAGGGTGGGTGTCTTCATCTTGCACACATGGTACAGAATATTCTAGAAATGGTATGGAACATCCTAGGAATAGCTAGAATCTTAAATATCTGCTTCTGCCATCTCCAGGTTGTGGGATCCATTTCTAGAAGATACCAGGATGGGAAGATATAATTAAAAGCTTGAAAAGGCTATTTGAGGCTAGGGATGAGGGGAAATTTCATTTTGCATTTAAAGGTGAACCTACCTAGCTTGCACATTCCAAAATAATATGTCAACCAAAACACCACAATCCTTTGAAATTTGCAATGTTCTGAATTTTGCAATGAAGTTCTTTAGCCAATCTACTTGTCCAAAAATGGACGTACCAAAGTACAGTGTGTCTAAAAATTGCATATATTAATGACAGCAACATGCCCAATGCATTATATTAGGGGAAATTGCTTTGCAAAAATGTGCGTGTTGGCCAAAATTGCATAGGAAAATGTGAAAATTAGAATAAATTCACACTAAAATGCTGGTGTAGAAATGTGGAGAACTGAACTTAAGACTGAAAAAAATGAGAAACTTGGAGAAACCACAATTGCCCATTGCAATATGAGCATTTGTGCGGAAAGATAGAAGAGTTCTCCCCAAATTATGAACAAATTATTTAACACCTCTCCCTTCAATGAAAACTCTCTAAAACTATATTTTTTGTTCCCTTGTCATAAGTGATCTCTTAGGCACTGTGCAACTAGTGCTCGTGACAGTTGCACAAACATTAACACATTCACAACAACAGTATTGCTAATGGATTGAGGGTTGGAACCAGATTTTCACAGTAATGAAGGATGTATATAAAATAAGACATTTCTATCCTCTGAAATAAAGACAGGTGCTCCAGGGGTCCTTTCACCTGTCTTCCTCTCCTGCTTGCTACTGGTAGGGTGCAACTGAGAGTAAACTTTTACTTGCTACAGCAAGTCCACTCTTGGACTAATGGGCACGGGAGCTGCTTCTTGCATCTTCTACTGCTGTAGGCACGATCTCTGACAATGGTTTAAGGCAGGAGTATCCATATGTTGTTGGACTCCAGTTCCCTAGGAATTTGCTTTCAGATGAGCATCCAATGTTTTATCAAAACGGAACCCTATTGAGAATGTATATCAATTACCACATGTGTCTTAACATGTGCATTCCTGTACATGCCAGCTCAGAAGAAAGTCCCATTGAATTCCATGAGGCTTCACATGAGTATAGGATTGCACCCTAAATTCTTTTAACTAGTAACTATGTTTAATGGGGAATGCGGGTGGCGCTGTGGGTTAAACCACAGAGCCTAGGACTTGCCGATCAGAAGGTCAGCGGTTTGAATCCCCGCGACGGGATGAGCTCCTGTTGTTCTGTCCCAGCTCCTGCCAACTTAGCAGTTTGAAAGCACACCAAAGTGCAAGTAGATAAATACCGGTAGGTACCACTCCAGTGGGAAGGTAAATGGCGTTTCCGTGCACTGCTCTGGTTCGCCAGAAGTGGCTTAGTCATGCTGGCCACATGACCCGGAAGCTGTAAGCCTGCTCCCACGGCCATTAAAGCAAGATGAGCACCGTAACCCCAGAGTCGGCCACGACTGGACCTAATGGTCAGGGGTCCCTTTACCTTTACCTATGTTTAATGGAGCCCATACCTCTATGCATATAATGTCCTGCTACGTTTGGCACAAATAATAGTTGTGTATTCATTTCCTTCAGAGAATGTAATGAGCCACACAGAGTTGCTTGCCATTTAAAAACAGGACCCTTTGGGATCATGCTATGAACCATGCAGCAACCCATCAATTAACAAACAGAGCTTGGTAACTTCTACCCAAGGGAATAATCAGTGATCCCCAGTGCATACTTTTGGACGAGGGAATTGTATCACATAAACTCAGCTTGCAAAGTGCCCACTTCCCCCTTGTTAGAGCTCTTTGAGCCAGTGTGAGAGATGGAAAAGCCTCCAGACCAAGGAGCAGCCTCAGGGAGTGGAAAAGGGGGTTGTCTCCTGGTCCCACAGGGATATCACCATGGCTTGGAAACACTGGCCTGATTGTTCCCATGTCAGGGTAATATTCAGCTTAGGGTGGAGGGAAGAGCAAGCGGCAAACAATGGGAAAGAGGCATGCAGCCCACCCGCCAGACAAAAAACCCCAGAGCCCAGGTGCAGAGTTTCTGCTGGCCTCCAGATGAAAAAGAAAGAGTAAGTGAGACACCGACTTGCCGGCAGAAGACCTAGCAGGAAGAGAGGAAGGAATCCACATTGTGCTAGGAGAAGCTAATGCAACAGGTTGGTTGAATATGGACAATAGAATTTTTACGGTTAGGAAGGTGACAGGGACATGCACTAAAAAGATTCGGGTTAACAAGTGACTGACAGAAAGAAGTATAAACATCCCACAAGCAAGCAGGATGAACGCTCATTGCTGTATAACCTCCCCACAAACAAATCACATTGAATGCTCAGTAAATACCAGACATTGTCTAACCCAGGGGTAGGCAACCTAAGGCCCGGGGGCTGGATGTGGCCCAATTGCCTTCTCAATCTGGCCCATGGACAGTCCAGGAATCAGCGTGTTTTTACATGAGTAGAATGTGTCCTTTTATTTAAAATGCATCTCTGGGTTATTTGTGGGGCATAGGAATCTGTTCATTTTTTCTTCAAAATATAGTCCGGCCCCCCACAAGGTCTGAGGGACAGTGAACTGGCCCCCTGCTGAAAAGGTTTGCTGACCCCTGGTCTAACCTCACCGTAAGCTTTGTGCAAGCAAATCAGGATGAATGCTCCATAAACAGGTCATATGGGGGAGATCATATTTCTGCAGTCTCGAAGCAGGAGAAAAAATATTATTTGTACCTTGCTTTGTACCTAACTGGGTTGCTCAAGCCACTCTGGGAAGCCACCTTTGAATGGATTCTTTTTAAAAAGATGGACATTCTCTCTTCAAGCATAGAAGCTGTGGCCCTCCAGTGCTTCATTTGCTGCTATGCATGTCTTCCTCAGCTGCAAGCTCAAGACTTGCACAAAATTTGTTATGATCTCTGTTTTTAGATCACGGTCTTCACTAACAATTCTGCTTTTATATTACTGTCTGTCTTCCTCCATAACGTTGCATGGCCTGGAGAAAATTCCACCAGATGTGGCTTCTTCCATCAGCGTGGCATAGGAACGGCAGGGGGAAATACAATTCAGTTTGGAACAAAGCTCCTTTCCAAATTTCCATTTCTCCACATTTTGTGACGCAGATTTTCAGTCAAGCAATGTGTTCAAAAAGGAAAACACGAGGATAAAGTTTGCATAAAAATATGTATATTAATGAAGCTAACATGCAAATGTATATTAGGGGAAATTGCTTCACAGAAAAATGGTATATGTTGGGAGTTTGCAGTAAAACACTGGTGAATTTTCGTGAGGATTTTTAAAAAAATTGCAAATCAATGTGGAATGTGGTATACGGAACTTAAGGTTGGAAATATGAAAAATTGAGAGAAACTCATAGTGCTATGGCAGTATGGTGGGGAAACCACCATCTGCCTGCTTCTCTTTCCATACAGCCAGGGCCATGCCAAGACATTTTGCTGCTTGGGGTGAAAGACAAGGGCCACATTCACACGATACATTTAAAGTGATGTGCTGACACTTCAAACCGTCAATTATTCCCTCAGAGAATTATTGGAGCTGCAGTTAGTTAAGGGCTCTGAGACCCCTATTCCCCTCACAGAGCTACAATTCCCAGAGTTTCCTGGGAAGAGGAATTTATTGTTAAACCACCCTGGGAATTGTAGCTCTGCGAGAGGAATACAGCTGTCTCAGAACAACCTGCAACTCTTGATAGTTACATGTATCCCTTCAAGTTCTGAATCCAGCAGCCAGAAAACTTTCCATAACCAATGTGTTCTGGAAACCTGGGGGTGCAAACATGGAGTGATTTATTATGCCATGAGACAAGGGATGCATGCAACTTGTTTACTTCATAGACCCTCTTTTGGCTGGCTAATTACCATCCCCAAAGGATAGCATATTCATAAAACTTATAGAAAGTCACGAATGTGATGAATCGTGCAGAGTCACAAATTAATGTGATATTTATGAAAGGAAATAAACAGAAGCAAAAAAGTGGGGAGTGAGAATCTTCCTAGTACTAACTCTATGCAGTCACAGGAATCTGGATGTTCAGACGGTAAACAAGTAATTCAGTTAAGCATAAAGAGCACATTTGCGTTTATCTCTGGCCTAGTTCATTCTTTTCATTTGGAAATGCCTTTGTATGAAGGACTCCCCTCACCCCTTTGCTATTTGAATGGGGAGCACTGGTAAGTGTATGGTAAAAAGGTAAAGGTAAAGGGACCCCTGACTGTTAAGTCCA